GTCACACACACACTTTTATCATGGGATCTATGCTTTTCACATAATGCATCACTTTCTTTTATGAGGAATCTTCTCCAGGCTGTGCACATTATGTATTCAAGTAATTGTGTTTCTTGGACAATCTTGTGTGTTTTAAGGTACAAATCTGAAATTTCTTGCTTGCTTCGCCATATTATTTTTGTCATTTTCTTCTTGTTCATTGTTTTTCAGTGTTTTTGGTTACTTTGAGTGAGAGGGAGTTTGGTTCATCATTGCTTTTAGTGAGAAGGAGTTTGATTTATCATTGCAAGGGTTTTTTTTAGCATGACCTTACATTAATTGGTTTGGTAAGGGAGTTTGACATTAGTTGGTTTGCCTATTGCTATACTTTGTTTCTTTATAGTTTCCTTCTTGCATGCTCTTGATATTTACATCATCATATCATTACCTGTGTGCTTTATGTTCTTGCTTTAGTTGATTGAGATTCCTTTGACTATTTGTGACAAAAAAGAGGAGAAATGTTGGCGGGTGCATGTGTCTTACGATTTCATGTATTCATACTACATGTTCTTAAAATCTCTAATTTACATCTATTCATATTTCCATCTCATGCTTCAAGATAATCTTGTCATATGTCTATTGCTTTTGATATACTTTTGTGGCACTAATAGTTGTTTTGGAGATTGTGACAATAATAACTGTTTTGCAAATCATGACATTGAGAAAGAAGTTTGTTTTTGTTGGCTGTAATGGATTGGGGTGTTTAGGATTTTATTTGTTAGGTGTGTTTTGTCATGGCATTGTCAAAGGGGGAGATTGTTAGGTTTTTATTCTTGGCAATCCTGTTTGACAAAACTCCTTTCAGTTGTAATTTTATTCGATCTTTTGTTTTAATGAGGCTATGAGTTTTAGATACGAATCCAACCCGAATTATGTCTATGCAGAGGAGTTTGTGATCTTAATCCTATCATGTTTTCCACTTCGCTGACTATGTCAGGGATTTAGCTGCCTGCCCAGCTTACGGGGGTCCAGGGGGTAGCGCCCCTTGGTCGGTCCGGGGCAACGCCTAGGCGGGATCGAGGGGCAGCGCCCCCGAAGCAAAAAGCAAAAATGCAGTCAAAGTTGCTTGTCCGCTCCAGCGGAGAATCTTTGGTTCCAGAGGTTTAAACTGTTTGCGAAAGTACTGGAAGTTGTGTTTTTACGCTTGAGTGAAACTTCCTACGCAGTCCGCTCGAGCAGCCATTCTTGCGCTCGAGCGGAGATCACAGATCAGTTTTCTATAAATAGGTGGTTTTATCAGATTTTAGGGTTACGGCTTCCAGATCTTTTTATTGGGTATTAGGGTTTTCATCTGCAGCTCCTTTGCTAGTTTCTTTGGTGTTTGTTTGAGTTTAACTCATGGTTTGAAAGGTATACATCAAAGAATTTTTTGTTTTTCATTCAATGCAAAAGAAAGAGTTGTTCTTCGGTGGATTTTGGGGAATTTGAGAGCCTGAAGTTTTAGTGGATTCTGTAGTGGCTCATCGTCGTGGATTCAACATCGACGTTGTGGATTCAACGTTGGGCAAGACAATTCTGAGGTAAAGACCGTGGTGGAAGAAGCATATAGGGGTTGGTTCAATTCGGGGGTGGATCCGCTAGGTAACTGAGAGTGTACTTGTGTAATTCTTTTTGACTTCTTAGTAGATTGTTTTGTGGCTTTTGTCCATGGTTTTTATTTATTTATTATTTTATTTATTTTTTTTATTACAATTGGAGGCGCTCCAATTGTGTTTTTTTCACGTTAAAATCGTTTTGTTGATTTGTCTTGGTTGTTTGATTGGGATTGTTATTTACTACTTAAAATTAATACATAATCACAAATCAATATCTAGGGAATTTTCTAGATTTTTCAGAAATAAAGTAGATTTTATGTGAAAATTTATTAAAAAAAATTAAATAAGGCCTCGTTTGGCAAGTGTTTGTTTTGAACTAATAGTGAAAAAATTACTAAAAAAATCAAAAATTCTATAACCTATACCAAAAAATCAAAGATTTCATTTTCTCCCTTTTTTTTTTTTGCACATCTTTTCGCAAAAAACTAAAATTCATTTCAAACATGCCAGTTTTTTTTACCTCATATTTTAGCCAAAAACTCAAAAAATTACTAAAATTGCTTGTCCCCAAACGAGGCCTAATAGCTCATCTTAATTACTAATTGAAAATTATAAAGTGTTTTAAAAGTAATAATTCATTCTAATTACTAATTGATATTCATTTTGGGTGAAATATCAATAAATCTTAAAATATGATCATGTAAACTGTTTAATCCTTCATTTTTTTTTTTTATAAATTTAAAAGTCTTCTTAAAGTAAAAATTATACAAAAGAGTAATCACTTACACGTTTGAGTTTAATTTTTTAAGAATAAAAGTGGGTTTCTCCAAATATGAAATTACACATTTGGATAATCCGCACTATAGAGATTGTGGATTTTTCTTCCTTCTAAAACAAATCCCACATTACGAATAAAAATGTAACACTCCAATGTAATACTCCAATAACGTAACACTCTAATGTAGCACAATAAAAAATTCTTTAGTATATTTTTTTGAAACATAACAACATAACACTCTAAACTTTTTCTAAACGTAACACTCCAGTATGTAACACACAAAAAAACATTCTAGTGTACTTTTTTCAAATGTAACACTCCAATCAATATAATCTCAAATGTAACACTCCAATATAACCAAAAAAAACTCCTTAGTGTACTTTTCTCAAACGTAACACTCAAATCAATGTAATCCCAAATGTAACACTCCAATGTAACTCATACAAAAAAAAAAAAAAACTCTGTAATATATTTTTCCCAAACATAACACTTCAATCCATATAATGCCAAGCGCAACACTCCACTATAACATACAAAAATATTAAAAAATTTCTTAGTGTATTTTTTCCAAACGTAACATTCAAAGTTTGAAATTATACATTTGTCCAAAACTTACTACAGAATTTTTGTACACCTTTTCGAATGGTTTGAAGAATGTCACTTCCCTTTTTTGAAGTGTTATGTTTGGAAAAGTACACTAAGAAATTTTTTTGAGTGTTACGTTTGAGTGTTACCCTAGACAGTTTTTGTTTTTTTTGCTTTTGTTTTTGTTTTTGTTTTGTTTTTTTTTTTTTTTGTTTTGGAGTATTATGTTTGGAAAAATTATACTAAGGAGGTTTTTTAACATCTTACACTGTAGTGTTATACTAAGTTTTTTTTTTTTTTTTAGTTATATTTGAGTGTTACGTTTTGAAAAGGTATACTAACAAGTTTTTTTTGGAATGTTACATTTGAGTATTACATTTAAAAAAAGTATACTAAGGGATGTTTTTGAAATCTTACATTTGAGTGTTACACTAAAGTTTTTTTTTTTTTTTTTGAAGTGTTTTATTTGAGTATTACGTTTTAGTGTTACATTAGAGTATTACAGTTTAAATTATACGTTTGTCCAAAACTTACTAATGAATTTTTCTATTCATTTTGAAATGTTTGAATAATCACATATTTCAAATCATTTATACTAGTAGTTTTGAAATGTTTAAAAAATCTCGCATTTCAAGTCATATCAAATTAAAAAGATTCCTATATAAAAATTAATTAAAGCCTTGTTTGTCATCTACTATATAATCCATCTTTTTATCTTTTTATCTTTTTTTCATCACATCACCTCTCTACTTTTCTGCACATCTTTTCGTAAAAAGACAAAAAGTGCACTTTTTTAGTACACCCCAAACCAACCCTTCAGGGTATAACCGTAAATCTAATTTTCAAATAATATTAAATCTTCATTTCTAAAATCAGTGAGAGTAGTTGGTTTACAAGAAAATTCTTGAGACTAAACGGATCAACATTCCTAAAAATGGAATTTATAGGTAAATTTTCCATTTATCTTTTTGGTGTATCTTAAAACATCAACCAAAAACTAATGAGTGATATTATTTAAACCAATAATTTTAACTTATATTTGAATTATGAATTTGAGTATGAATTTAGAAAGAGAAACAGAAGCAGAAAAAGAAAAAGAAAAAGAAAAAGAAAAGATAAATAAAATGCCAATGAAATATAATTAAAAAATTTCATTTGAATTATGAATTTGAGTATGAATTTAGAAAGAAAAACAGAAACAGAAAAAGAAAAAGAAAAGATAAATAAAATGACAATGAAATATAATTAAAAAATTTCATCCACCTCTTTTGTTTGTATTTTTAATTCTACGATTCAAATACATTTTATAAAAAAAAAATTATAAAATAATAAAAAGTATAGAAATTATTTATCAAAAAGATGAAAGTTCTACTTATGATTTCTTTATCTGGAGAAAAATTACACCCATGTTATAAATTTTTTTTTTATATAGTATATCATATTTGTAATGAAAAATGCTTGGGAGCACTAATTAGTGCTCCCACTAATTAGGTGGCAGTGGGTCCCGTCATTAATGATGTGATATTTTGGTCTTGGAGTTGTATTTTTTTTATTTTTTTTTAATTTTTTTAATGCATTAGTACTATTAGTGGTGATATTTTTAGTAGGATGAATCATTGTTGTATTTGTAATTTTTCCTAACTCTTGGAGCAATGCCTAGCCGGACATGACTTTTCCAGTTCATAGAGTGACAAGTTGTATTTTGATAATTCAAATGGTTTAATAATAAATATAATTTTAAAAATAAATTATTAGTAAAAATATATTTTATTTAAAAAAATAATCAGTATTTGAAATAAAAATAAATTACTTAACAAATTTTTTACATTAAACAATTTAAATTATTAAAATAATATTTATAATAAATTTTACCAATCCAATTACACCATCAAATTCACATAGGATAGTATAGTCCCTCATATGGGGATAAAGAATCCGGTTAAACTTCATATCCGGCGAACTAAAAAAAAAAAAAAACCAAATTAAATGCTTCTCTCAAATTACAATTTGAACAATAAATAATTTATTTATCCCCAAATCAAACACACCCATTGTGCGAACGAAAGAGCAACGTTACCCATGCCTAAACTTGATCAGAAACACGCAACAATTTCTCCCACCTGCATAGTAAATCCAAGTTCCAACCAGAGTGACAGCAATTAGGGGAGAGAGAGAGAGAGAGAGAGAGAGATTCTCCCCCTATATGATGAGAAGTCTGGTCATCGCTATCAGTGTTCACACTGGGAAAGAGAGAGTCGGCAATGCAAACCCAAATTTCTTAATACAAATTGAACCTGAAACATTTTTGAGTTTTTTAAAAAGGTTCTTCGATGAAAGTTAAAGTCCAAACCCAAAGCTTTCGGATTTCTGCACTTTCCTTCACTTTCTGTGTTCTGCTTTTCTCCAAGAAACTCCCACTTTGTACAGCTTCAACTTTCCTTCAAATCCTCTTTTTCTTCTCAACCCTTTTTTCTGTGTCCTCTTCTCTGTTTCTTTTCTCTTCTTTGTCACCACCTCACATCTTCCAAGCTCCAATCCCTTTAACAAACCCAACAAACCAATTATCAAAAACCCAAAACTAAAAACAACAAAACCTCCAAGTTCTGATCAATCAATTTTTGTGTAAAAAATGCAAGACCCATCAATGTATCAACAAATGAATCCCCAATTCCCAGAACACGAGCAGCTAAAATGTCCACGGTGTGAATCAACAAACACCAAATTCTGTTACTACAACAACTACAATACGTCACAACCACGCCACTTTTGCAGGAACTGCAAGAGGTATTGGACTAAAGGAGGCACTCTTCGCAACGTACCAATCGGCGGTGGCACTCGCAGCAAGAACACCAAGCGCACTTCTTCAAACCCCAAACGCTCTTCTTCTTTTTCTTCTTCTTCATCTTCATCGTCCACCACAGCTCGAGCCGACGCAACACCAGAACCATCGGATCTCGAGCGGGGCCGTCCGATGATAGAGGCGAATGGGCAATTTGGGAATTTGATGGAGGGTATGAATCCAAATCATGGGTCGATAGCGCAATTGGGTGAGTTTGGAGAAAATCTGAATTCGAAATCGGGGTTGCAGAGTTCAAGTAACAATTTTGACAACTTGATGGGTTTTCAGAGTGGTGATGGGTGGCCTGATCCTGCCATTTACACACCAGGTTCGACCTTGCAGTAACTCAATGTATGTTTGAGAGGAGAGAATTGGATTTCTTCTACTTTTTGATAAATAGTACTAGTAAGGTTGGGCTTTTATTATTGTTTCGTTTTAATTATTGGAATTCTTCGTTTTGTAAAATTTATATATTATTTATGAAATATTTAAGTTGATTGAAATCATCAACTAATTTAATTATCATATTAACTAATTTTTTTTTATAAATTAAATGATTTAAATCATCGAAACAAAATTCGACGGAGTCTTGAGGCCCCTCAAGACCAACTCTTTTGTAATGATTGTCATGCCTAAGCTTGAAACAGTCATTTTAATTTCGCTTATCAAAATGCATGTAAAAAGTATATTTTTAAAATGAAAATTTTAAAATTTTGTTAACCACTCGTAGTTATTCTCAACTTATATGAGTTGTATATATTGAAAGTTTGATGCATTTTTTGATAATTGAGATTTTAAGTAAATATTTACATAATCTCTTTTGTTTGAAGAAATGATTTATTTTTTACCATCTGAAATATTTGAAATCCCTAAAATATTCAGAAATTCCTCTATTCAATCCTTCTCCCACTTTTTCTGTTGGATATCTTGTTCATACATATCTTCTCTCTACGAAGTGTCCATCACATAACGCAGGCTGGCCTTTTATAAGACCAACAGCTTGTAGTTTTTGATGGAAAGAGGCGCAGGAGAGTGGTTTTTGATTGGAAAGGAACGAAGGACAGATATTTCTCACTTTTCAATTTGTGGAATCTAGGATGAGGATGCGGTCAAGTAGTCGCGACTCTTGTAATTCGGTGTACCCAGCAAGGTAGTTGCTAGGGGTTTTTTTTTTTTAGGAAACTTACAAAAAAAAAAAAAAATTCTCAGGATTTAAAGTGTTTTTCACATTAAATCTCAACATTTTAATTTTAACAATTTAAATCCTCAATTTTTAACGGTGTCCCAATATTGACTCTCCATCTATTTCTATTTGTTTTCGATAATTTTTTACACTTATTTGATACACGTGTCACTTTTTGATTCGTCCATAATTATTATAATTATTTTATTCTAAAATTGTTCCAACACTTTTTCTCTTCTCGCCCTCCTTTCCCACCCTATCTTCCTTCCCTGCTGTCATCAATCAGTCCCATTTTTTTTTTTCTATCAGCTCTCTCTCTCTCTCTCTCATCATCATCATCATCATCATCATCGCCGTTCTCATTCATCTGCAAACTATGATCAACGAAAGAGCTCCAATAACATTCTCTGCATCTCTAACTCCATGAGGAAAAGTATTGTAGAACAAATATAAGGGAGATGTTCCTAAGTCTCGATAGACCACTTCAAGACTCTGAAATGCCAATCATAGAAGCAATAATGAAGAGAACTTCTGTAGGATTCAAAAGCAAACCCGTGAATTAAACATCAATGTATCTCTATTATTAGTTACAGTATCCTTTAGCCTGACAATTATTCTTAACAAAAAAAAAAAAACAAAAAAAACAAAAAATAAAAAGAAAAAAAAAAAAAGATCTGGAAACTATTTCTATAGAATTCACACTATCATCAGGTTTGCAAACAAGAACATGGGTAATTTGTTGAGATTTGAATTCAAAATTTCCCAAATCCAAAAATTTTCATATTGCACAATAATTTTCAAATCATCATTAATCAAACAAAAACTCAGTAAGATTTATGTTCTTCTCTTCATTGTTTAAACAACCAAACCAGTGGTACAATGTAAACACAATAGAAGAAATCAAGGTCTGCTCAATTACAAATTCATGTTAGATATATAAACAATTAGCTTTTTAATCAGTTCATCAACATCAACAAATAATTATGCATCTTACTTTTTCTTTGTACATGTTTTTAAGTCTTCCTGCTTCTTCATCCATGGGTTGATCGAGATTCTACTCCAATCACTCCGGCGAACCAGTTTGATCAGAGAGCTCTGATATGGATTTGAGGAAAAAGGCGATTGAAAGTTGAGAGAGAGAGAGAGAGAGGTGTGGAAGATGTTGTGGTAGCATAGGGGCGGTGTGTATAGAGGTCGGCGGACGGGCAGAGGTTAGCGATGGAGCATCTGGAGGTCGGCGATTATTCATCCTGGAAGCGATGGGGCATCCGGAGTTTGGCGATCATTCATCTTGCAAGAAAGAGAGAGAGAGAGAGAAAGAGAAAGAGAGAGCTGATAGAAAAAAAAGAAGAAGGTAATTTAGAAATAAAATAATTATAATAATTATGGTCCAATCAAAAACCGACGTGTGTATTAAATAAGTGTAAAAAGTTAAAAGAAACAAATGAAAACAGATGGATGGTCAACATTGGGACACGGTTAAAAATTCAGGATTCAAATTGTTAAAATTAAAATGTTATGGTTTAATATGAAAAACACATTTTTTTTTTTGAACTGTAAAAAATGATACTTTAAGGTGTAATCACTGTATTCATAGAGGTCCAGGTCCTGGGTAGCTAGTTGCTGGCCTGATTTAATCCAATCCAAAGGAAAAGATCTATTACCGAGGCACTAATAGAACTCAACCACACGCTACAGATGAGCTCAGGTTTCAAGAGAAGCACATGTGAGGTCTCCAAAGGAAGCCAACTACAAAGTAGTAGAATTTGCACCTCTCAGGAATCGAACCTAGGTCACGCCCGTAGAGAAGGATACCTTCTTCACTAGACCACCACCCTCGATGGTAGGTGGTTGCTAGTTGAGCCCTATGAATTAAGAATGAATTTTATTGGATAAAAAAAAAAAAAAAAATCGATCCACACAATAAATGTTTTGTAATACTATAAAAATTAATAGTAAATTTTATATATAAAAAATTTATTAATTGATATAACACTTATTATATTATCATACTAATTCTATTTAAATTTCAAAGTTTTTTAAATTAGCTTTGTTTATGAATTTTTTTAATTTAATTTTTATTTTTTTACCTTTTTTTTAAAGAAAAAAATAAAATGATTATGGTTTGAATATGACATTTTGTCTTATTAGTTTATTTTATCTTTTTTTGTTTTTTAACCTAAACTCAAGTCACTTGCTAAATGAGGACTAAGTATGTTTAATTTGCTCCAATTGTAATGATATGCATGCATAATGTTTGTACAAAATTTCTGTACAAAATAAATTGGGATTTTGTGATCCTTTCATTTTCAATCAAAACATCTGTTATCTTTGTAATTTCACAAATGTTATTGATACATTATTCTAAATGTAATTTTTATATAAATTTTATATTTACAAATCACTTTTCTTATAAATGATTGTACCAACTATGTTTGAAATAATTAGTAATACACACCTTAAAAAAAATGTACCATGTGCCCAAATTTTTGTAGTGCTTAGTTATGACACATTGTAGGGTTAATTAGTACTTAATTATGATTTATTGTGATTATTATTTTAGTTATGACCACAAAATTATTTGATTAGAAAAATTACAATGTGTGCTCCTAAAAAGGTATAGCTATGGTTCTTTGGATGAATTATAAATGGTGAAGTTATGGTGTACACTCCAAAAGTTATGAATAACAATGTTATATTTTCTATGGTAAAAGTTATACTTTTTGTATAAGGTGCATAACATATGCATCATTTTTAAGGTGCATATACATGGTAGATTTTTCCATTTGATTATATCTCAAGTAATGATTGGGAAATTTTTATTTCTACATACCTAATTTTCTCTGTACACAGCATACCTTAAAAGCACATAATGAATTTGAAATATTATGTTTTACTCAATACACAACATAACATGCCCTCATCTTTTTCCTCATTCAAACCCTAGTCTAACCCTGATCAACCACCAACCACAACCACTACCTCCCACTGTTGCCACATTCGCTGCCAATGTCGATGTCGGAACCATCTCCTCCTTGCCTAACCACCACTTTCTCAACGCCCTTCATTTCAAGTCGCCTACTCCAATCACCATTTGTGCCTTATGAACCCCCTCTCCACCTTACGTCACTAACATCTTTACCCCTTGCCAAGGCCAATCGCCACTTTCAACATTTACCTTCCTATTTTTCAATCCACCCTCCACCCACTAACGAGACTATCACAACCCCCTCTCTTCTCTCTCTCTCTCTCTCTCTCTCTCTCTTATTCACTCTTTTATTCATACAGAGATTGTGTGGTGCAATCCTGGCAATGAGGACTACAGGGTGGGTATCGTAACAGTAAGGAGTAACGAAGGTAAGGATGCTTCACTGGAGGTGGAGGAATGGTGAGGGTGGTTAGAGAGAAGGCCATCAAGGACAAGTGGTGGTTAGGTTTTGGATGTGGATTTAGTGTTTTCAGCGAAGAAGATGATCTATATTTTGGTACAAATGTAATATAAAAAAATAATTAAGGTCTCATTTGTCAACTATACATTTTAGCCAAAAAGTCAAAAAGGCACTACAAGTTGTCGCATCGCTCTTTTTATTTGTCTGCACATCTTTTCGTAAAAGCCAAAAAGTTATTAAAATAACATGTTCCAAAACGAGGCCTAAGTGCATGGACTAAAGATATTTTGGTGTGGGAGAATATAAACTCTCTAGTATTTGCTTATGATCTATTGTGATCGTTTTAATTATGACCGAAAATGGTTTAGTTATTACACAAAGTGGTATCAAAATTAGAAAATTTCATAACTTACATATGATAGGGATGTAATATTAGGGGTGCAACTCGGTCGGGTTTGGACGGGTTGAGAGGTTGTCCAAGGCCAACCTAAGTTGTGTTGAGAGCTGCCCAAGCACACACCAAGACCGAGGTTGTCTGCCCAAGCCCGAATCGAGTTAAATCCGAATTGTCCGAGTTGCTTGAATTACACATAAATTTTATGTTTTCCATTTTTTATAGCAACTAAATTAATTAATTTGTTATAATTAGACTATATTTACATTTAAAAAAAAATATAAAATCCTTAATAACATCAAAACATATCATTTATATAATGTAAGAGAGATGTTGTTATGGTGGTCTTTACAATTTATGAGTGAAAAAAAATGTAACATTTTGTGTTGTATTACTTGTGTATATAATATATATTCAATATGATCTAATATCTAAATGATTTAATATCATCTAATGACTAATAATTTATAGGTATATTTAATACTTTTATGTATTTATCTATATATAATTTGGATTTCAGGTTGCTCAGGTTGTTTGATGTCTTCCAAGCCTG